ACATCAAACAAAAAAAGTTTCAAACTTGTTGCCTGCTGCTGGAGGTGCCTGCCGCCTGCTGCCTCTGCTGCTAACTGTGTCGCTAAATGTATGGTGTCGATGTGGTGTTGCTGCTGCTGTTGTTGTTGTCGATACATTCCATAATAAAAATCAACAACCGCAGCGACTAAAAAAATCGACGACTACCTCGAAAAAACAACGCGAGAAAATGACAAAGGCAAACGGCAAACGACTACGAGAACGAACGACGACGACGCTGACGCTATCTAGAGGTAGAACTGATGATGATTTATGAGCGTCAGAAATCAAGTAGAAAATTACGGTAATAGTAGAGAGAGAGAGAGAAGCGCACCAGCCAGATACACCTAGAAGCTACCTAGCAGATACATTATGCTTGCTATGCGTATCTCTATCACTAGTTCTGTCTGTGGTTTCCCCTCTTTCCCCTATTTTTATTGGGCAATTTTAAGCAGAACCAACACGCAAAGAAAGCTATCCAAACGTTATAGTACCCAGTACTTGGCTTCTATATGGCGAAACTAGATATGCAGATGCAACCATTAAGCGTTGTTTTAGCGCCAAAGAGCCAAACATCTTTTGTTGATACTGGCTATGATAACGAACCAATCGTCAGGACATTTTGCAAGATTCACAGGGTATATGGGAATGATTTAACCCACTGAAAGCGTCTTGGTCTCAACCGTTTTCAGTGGAAAATGTTGAATATGCTAATTGGCAATGCAAATATTAGGCTTACCGCCTGATTAAGGCAATTCGAATGGATTTCTACAGAAATAAAACCAAAAGTGTCATATTATAAAAATATAATGAACACAGATACACATAAATGTAAGATACAGATACAAATGCGAGGACATCTACAATATTTATGGCAGCATCTCAGGTTCTTTCACTCTGACTTGTCGAGACAAATTCATTTAGCAAGACGACACCTTGTTAGGGAACACTGACTTATGGCCCACACTGTGGGACCTCGGGAGGTGGAAGGGGAGGGGGACATGTGCCACATGTGATTCGTGTGTGGGTTGTTTTTAGCTGGAATTGTAGCGACTAGGTGTTAATTTTGTTTGTTATGCTGCTCCCACCCCCTCCACTCCCAGCCAACAAATAGTTTTCCATAAACGAGAAAAGAAAACACACAACCAAAAAGGGAAAATTCTCAGTTAAAAAGGAAAAATTAACAAGAGACATGCGGGCTCCACGAGAGATGACCAGAAGAAGAGTAAACAATCTAAATGGATATTAGTTTTGGATGAGCAGCAGCAACAAGAGATGGAAAATATATGGAAATTGAGATACAATTTAAGATGATTTTTTCATACATTCGAAAATTGATTTTGAACAATCAGAAAAATATTTTTTTCTTCTACAAAATTTCTTTGAAAGATTTCCCTCAAAAGTTTTCTTGTCGAACTTTGTTTTTTTTTTTTGCCTATAGCGGGATTATATTCCCTTGATAAATCTTTTGCCCAAAATGAAACTTTTTTGAAAGTAAACGTAATCCTTATACAGAAAACAGTTAATTAATTTTTGCAGCTTCCATTGAAATCAGTTAACAAAAGACCAAAGATAAACAGGACAGAAAAAAGTGAGGACAGACACAAACCTCAAATGAGAGAAGCAAAAAGAAAAAGAGAAAGAGCAAAAGAAAAGGCCAAAGAGTTGAGAGTTGGAATATAAAAATGCCCAAGTTTTAAACAGAATTCAGATCTTGGGGATACGGGGCTGCTGCTGTGTTGCTCCAGGCATCATTAATTCTCACCCAAGTGTGGCACGACTACTCCTCGGCCGCCACTGCTCTCTCTCTCTCTCTGTCTCTCTTTGTGCATATTTCCAATTAAAGCTACGCTGCAACTCTAATGAACTTGAAGATATCAATCTACGCGCTGTTTAACCCTACAAAAAATAACCGCAGGAAGGCAGACAAACAGACAGAAAGAGCCACAGACAGACGAGGACGATTCGACCGAAAGACAGGCACAAAATAAATGTCAAGCTAATTAAAAAGCATCATCTACGGTCCGTGCTGGGCCTCCTCCTCCGCTCTCTGACTGCAATCGAGCATGCAATATTACTCATAAATGTTGTGTAGAAGGCACAGATGCAGCAACTTTGTTTAGAGGCAGGCAAAATTAATTGAAATTATACCCAAAAATAGAAGGGAAACCAATGCTCTAGAAGATACGCATCTCTGGGCTGCAACATCTACGAGTATGCACATGTTTTTTTGGAAAAGGAAGCGGCGGCTCTCTCCGCCTCGCGTTAAAACAAACAACAACATTCACTCGGTATTATTCTTATAAACAGAACAGAACTCCCGAAGTAAAATAATTTGTTATTTTCAGCATTTCAAGGCATCAGGTTATTTTCTCTCTTTTTTGTATCTTTTTTTGGGCTCGACTCGGCTCGGCTCTCTCCCTGCGTGTATCCATTGGTGTATCTTCTTTTTGGCTGTCTGTCTCTCCTCCGTCGCATCGAAACATAATTAATTTCTGTTTGTTTAAGGTCTGCTCTCGTCTGCTTCCTGCAACAGCCACGACGCGACGACGATATTTGTTTTTCTCTAGAGAGAAGGAAGGAAGGGTACACACGAGCACAGAGCAGCACAAGGCGGCGGAGAGGCAGTGCCTTGTTGCTCCTTGAGATTCATTGGAATTTCAATTTTCAAAACACAAAAACAACAAGATGCAGATACAATACATATTCATTGTCTCCGGTCGGTCGCCGTCGTGTTGGGCACTTAAATGCTTGATCATAAATTTAGCTGCTTTTTTGCAATGTCATAAATTAAACATTTTGAAACTGATAGGTTGCTCTCTCCTTCTCTTTCCCCCTCTCTCTGCTCACTCTCTCTCTCTCTGTCTCTTTATTGATCGCTCAAATTGTGGGAAAAGCAAAGAGAAAGAGAGAATATTTTTTGCCATAAATTATGCGCTTAATTAATTGGCCTACAAATTTCAGTCATTCGCGTCCCAGAGAATCTTTCCCATTTAATTAGTCAGAAACCGAACCCCTCAAATGATTCTCAATCGCAGTCTTCCAATCTCTTCAAGCAGGTTCTTTGCATCAGATTTCTATTGAAATAACTTGGGATTCGAATTCAAATTGGGTTTCTTGTTCTGGGAATTCTGTTTTGTTTAGGGAATACACATGATATTTCTACAGATTTCTAAAGGCCCGTCGCAAAAGAATTGTTTTTCAAAGTTTCAAATGAATAGAAAAAAAATATAATTTGATAAAAAGTATGATTTATACACCCAAAATGATTTATACCCAAGAAAAAAAAAACAAATAAATATGTCATACCAGTAGAGCTCTATATGTGATCATATTTATTCGTAATCGTACAAGTGAAAAACAATCTTTTTTCATTATTTGCGTACATAGAATCTTTATAATGAAATAAACAAAAAAATTATTGTGATATCTTGTTAGTTCTAGATGCCACATGAAATCCAGAAAGCGGAAAAGAATTTCAAGGTTTTTTCTACAGTAATTTCTCAACACAAAAGCACAAAAGTCTCCGTCCAATACTTATTCCTAGAGAAAAATCAATTACTGTTTAAATTTCTCACGTATCTACCCCCAAAAATAGAAAAACCCAAGTACCTCTTGCACACATTTTCGCAATAATCTCCATCATATCCTCCTTCATATCTCTCATTAGGGGGAGAACAGCGACAGAGAAGCGAGCGGTGCAGACGTACCATAATTAAAAAATTGTCATTTTCCTGTCGTTTGCTCAACTTTATCTGCAATTGGTTACACCAGAGATTACACCTGTGGCAAATTGTATGAGCGGGGTGGAAAGGGGAGCGGAGAAGAGCAAAACCAAATCAAAGGCGGCAACGACGCACACAGAGGGAATGCATTGTGGCTGTGGAGAGACTTATCTGTGAGGGATTCGGCGAGTTGGAGGGCAGAGCAGTGGGCAGGGGAAATCTCTTTAGCGGTAAGGGCAAGGGCAAACCCCTTCTAGTACTCTCCAACTATTCTATTTTGTAATCTCATACTCGTCGTACTCTCCTGATCAGCTACTCCTCCTATACTCCCAGTCTCTTGCTCTCCCACTCTTCACTCTCTCTATTTTTTGTCTTTGGCTGATTAAACCTGCATTACATAGACATACACATACACAGAAACACACAACAAATACTTCTATACAAAGAGTGCCGTTAAGACAAACAACGTTCGAGTCGCGTTCTTTAATAAGAAATAAAAGAACAAAACATGGAAGGAGGAGGAAAAAAAGTTAATTAAATTGTAAGCGAGCTTCCCGGCTCTTCCCCTTCCTTCCCCGCCCTTTCTGTGCACACACGCAACTTCTTCATCATCTCTTCAGCAGCAGCAGCAGCAGCGTGTCGGACGGCGGCCCCCTTAATCCCGTGGCTTGATTAAAGTAGACCACTTTTGCCTAGGACCCATGCCCCATCCGCCTGCTCTCCTTTCCTGTTTGTATTTGGTGGTGGGGGGTGGGTAGCTGCTGCTGTTTTTCTTTCGCTTTTCCGCGTTTGAAGTCGCCAGAGACAACTCCAATTGTTCTTTAGCCGCCCCAAAAGAAAATTTATTGTCCAAATATTAACATATTTTCATGGTTAGTTGGGTGGGGATCGTGGGTAGAGGAGGGGATAAAGCAGTCGGTGGCCGCAAATTGTGGCAACTCTTTTTGGGGGGAGGCGCACGCATTCCTTTTCGGACAGACTGTGTCGCCCTGGTCGCCATAAATTCGGTTTTATGCCCCATTGCATAATTAAGTTATTTTGTGCTTTTAATATTCTCTAATTATATCAAAATTTATAAACATTTCTTTTACGACCACTTTTGGCGATAAACAAAGGAGTGGTGGAAAGGGGATTTTGCATTTTCAGCTTAAGCTTTATGTCAGTCGCTTTATGTCTCGGCACCGTAAAAATCTTATAACCAGATATTCGCTATATAACAGATAACTTATCAGCTCTCTCGTTTGCATCTCATTACAGCCACAGAGGAGATTCTTGTGTATGAAACCAGAGCAGATCTACCAGAAAGCGGCTAATAAATAAAACCCAACGGAATGGAAAAAATGGTAAGTGGATAACTTTGAGACAGCGTAGATATATAAAGGGTTTAAAAAGAATAATTAAAGAAGGGCTTGAAGATTTAAATACGATTTTTTGAAGCTGAAATTCGTGGAAAACTAAGCAGATATTGCTGGAAAAAAAGAAGAAATTTCTCCATTAAAAACTTCAACTTCATCTGCTACAGTTTCCTGGGCCTCCCTGTCTTTTTCTTCTGTTCCTTAAGACATCTTCTCTGTAGACGCAAATATAAATAAGGCAAAAGAAGACACTTGACCTAGGTGGCAATCGAGTACCTTACTGCTGCCCCTCCCCCTTTTTTTTAAGCAGAGACTTAACACTTTGCCCCCTGGCTACTTCATTGCGCTTAGTTTGCCGCACAATGGAGAGAAAAATGCCAGAGCTCTCTGCCTCGTTTTCTCTCTGTGACCCTGTGTCTGGTGCAATTGACCAGGCAAAAGTCCATGTCCAAGGAGAGCGGATAGAAGAGACAGCATAGCATTCAGTTTCCCACAACAGCAGGCACAGGAGGAACTTCATCATCATCATCATCATCTTCCTCGTCGTCGTCTGCGTCTGCTTCTGCGGTTGTTGTCGGCAGTTACTTTTCAACGCCAATTTTGCACTTCAACAACGGCAGCATATCCTAGATACACTGGGATTAATGAATGGTTCTCAAAGGAAGACTCAGTAACAAATATGAAAAGTATAAAAAATGTAGTAAATTTATTTAGAAACTATTTCTTATTTGGCATTTAAGATCTTTTACAATTCCAATGCTATTTTTTGCTCAGTGTAGCTGTAGCAGGCGGGTTGCTGTGTCGGGAGACTTGGGTTTTGGTCTTCTCGTTTTTGGCTGCCGTGGGCGATGCATCTCTTCAGACGACGCGACTTGTTGCCCCATTGTTTGTTTACCCTTTTGAGCGAGAGAATAGCAGAAGAGCGCATAAGAGACAGATGGAGAGTGAGTTCTCAAAGAGAGAGAGATAGAGATGGCTGTGATGATTCTTTGGGAATATCTTTTGCACACTTTAACGCTAACGAGCTGTTGACTTCTTTCTGCTTTTCTGCCGGCAGTTGAGTTGCCAAGTTCTCAGTTGCCTGCTACCACCAGTTCACCTTCTTGTCCTCTCAATCTCCCTCTCTATCATTCCTATCTATCATTCTCTCATATTTCACAATTTTGCCTCAGCTTTCCAGCTTTAATTCATAATGTAGTAGTATCCTTTTCCCGAGTCTCGAGTGTCGTTCTCATCTAGTTATTGTGGCATTTCTCTCTACTTACCTTTCCCTCCTTCTCCTTCTCCAGCTCCCCACTCTTTTGTTAATACTTTTTTTCTCTAAATGTTTTGTTTGCGGCTCATTTGTTATGCGAGACATTTCGAAATGTTCTCTGTAATTAAAACATGGAAATATTTCCATAAATACACGACGCCACTCGATTCGTTTCGGCTGCCAGATGGGCAAACCAAACCATATAGAAATGACACATCATCATCGACATCGACATCGTCATTCGTCAGTCATTCCTTCGCTTGTGTCTCTTGTTGGGCATTTTTGTTTACATTACTTTTCTGTTGAGAATTACAAATACAAAATAACTAATTAAATATGCCAGAGAGCATGCATTGGATACGAATATGCTAGCCTAAACCCTTCTCCTCAGCCACCCTCCCCACCCTTCCATCAGCACGCAGCATGTGGCGCTCGTTGTCTGTCGAGGGAGAACAGAACGTAGAACGTGGGGGTGAAAGAGAATTGGAAAGAGAATACAACTGTTAATTGAATTATAATTGTAGGCTCGAGCACTACTCCTCCTCCCACAACTTTTACTCTACGTGCCACTCTTTCTGCTATTCCTTCGCTAGCCACTGCTCCCTCTTCCTTTCCTCTCCTCTGGCTACCTCTGCCTTTCCCTCGCCCTCGCTCACGTTAACCGATCACAATCACGTCCGATCATGTCGAGCAGTCAATCAATGTTCTAAAGATATTTTCATATTTTCTCTGTTTATAGAAGAGAAGATGGTGGACTAGGGGGGCATAGGCAGAGTTCATTAGAAATGCGAGTGGTGCAATGGGGGATCATAGATTTCATTGGTTTGGAAGTGGAAATTGGTAAAAGATGAGATTATTTTTGATGAAATTTTTGGGGAAAACTCAGAGGGAATTATACCGAAAATTAAAGATAGATTAGATGAGATACATATGTATTTATGTACATGATTAATGCGATGATGAAGATGATTCTTTTAAGAATAGGAAGTATGATTGATTGTTGGAAAAAATTGGCAGAAAGTAGGTAATATTAGTAGTATGTGGTAGTATGAATCCAATAGTTGGCGCACTCTTTCAAATATATGTAACACCATTTTTGGCAGGTTTAATTCCTTAAATACACCCAAAATCTGACAGACAGAAAGACAACCTTCCTATAGCTAACTAAAGGATGATCGACAGCCACACCCCAAAATCAAACAGCAAAATTGAAACTGGGTAGAATTGTATTGTTTCCAAATCAGTTTCCACCTTCGATTCGGAGAGCCAATTGCCTGATTCAATTGGAAACCAACTTTTGTGGCACGTCGCGCAACCGGGTGGAGCAGGAGAGACAGGAGGAATGGAATGGTCGGCGGCGTCAGTGTAAACAACAAGAGGGATCCATCCCAAAAGATGTATAGCAGGCGTTTGAGGCACGCACCAAACGCACCTTCAGGGCAGGGCAGGCAGGCAACACCACCACCCGTTGAGTGGGGCACACGGAATGGGTGGAGAAGGGGGTTTGGGTTGGTTCTCCACTGTGTGTGTGTGTGTGTGGAGTCGAGTGTTGTGCAGGGTGGTGGTGGTAGTGGTGGAACATCACCCAACACACAATCCAAAAGCATCCCTTGGTGCTGGTTTCCTGCCCGAACAACACGCTGATTGTTGGATCTGTTGAAATGCGCTTGAAAAAATAAACCAAAACTCAGGGAAAAAGGCATAAATTATTTGAGGCAGCCCCCACATCCTCCGTCGTTGGTTTTTCTTTCTCTCTCTCTCTCTCTCTGTTGTGTTGCACGGTAAATTAAGGTGACCATATGTGGCCGGAGGGCAGTGGCAGCACCAGCGGCAATTGCAGCCCCCCGACTGAGAGAGCAAGTGAAGCAAGAAAAACAGTTCATAAAATCAACAAACAGGAGGCAAGGGAAGGGGGCATGAGGCACACGAGGCAGGGCCAGAAGAATGGAAATGGGCAAATGCAGAATGGGAATGTGTATGGAAATGGGAATAAGAATCTCAAACAACATTCGAAATGCCACGGAGGGAATGGTGCGTGTTGCCGCCGTTGCCGCCGCCGCCACCGCTGCTGGTGCCTGTTCAAGTTTCAAATAAACTTCGAAATGCATAAATAGTTTACAACAATAACAAGAGAATCAGCACGGCGAGAGCGGCACCCAGCCACAACTACCAGCAGACCTGCTGCTGCAACCTGCCACATCAGCAGCGGGAAAAGCGAAAGAAAAACAGGAACAAGTGCGTTGATTGCAGCCGCCTGCACTTTAGGTATGGGGAGGGATCCATGAGGAGTGCTGCTACACAGGAGGTGGGGTGGGGTGGAAAAACGACGTGGGGGGAAAATGTGTGGGCCGTGTCTGCTCTCGGGAGCTATTTTGAAAAGCGTCTGCTACGATGCTCCGAATGGAGAATGCAGAATGCAGATGCATCTGCGGCGCATACCAAGAGTTCATTGGTTTCCACTTCCTCTACACTCCATTCAATTCCACTCTCTCTCTATCTTTATCTCCCTCTCTCTCTCTCTCTCTCTCTCTCTCTCTCTGTCTCTGTCTCTGTGTCTGTTACTTTCTTTCGGCAGATCTCTGCATCTTCTTGCTGGCACGTCTCCGCCATTTGTTTGGTCATCTTTTGGGGCTGAGAGAAATCAGCATTATGACCAGTCTAACAAATCAGAGAATTAGCCCAAAGTTTAGGCATAAAGACAAAGTAAATGTATATAAATTCTTGATCAGCATCAATATCTGAGTCACCATAGGCCATTTCTATTTATCCTAGTACCTTGTATTTTAAATTTGAGCTACGTTTGCCTCGTTCTCCCAATTTCTGTGGGAGAAAATCACAGCCCAGGGAACATTTTTAAATGGTTTCCCATTCCAAGCGACTTCCATAGAACCTACACAGACATCAATCTGTCTAACCTCTATGGTTACAATTTCTTGAGGTGTTTCCACATTTTATTGTTAAATTTTAAATTGATTTTCCACAAAGAATCGTATTTCTCCCATCTTAAAATGCAAATCAAATAAATTCCCAGGCCACTTTGCAACTTGAATTTCTCTGTTTTACAAGTGCAACATTTTATTAACTCTCTTGTTTGCCCCCCCTATCCTGCCGCATACCGTTAGTTAGAACCCATTCCCATACCCATCCTTCCTCCCCCCAGCATATTTGGCGCTACATGGCATCGTAAATATTTTTATTGCATGGCCGTAAAAATAAAACAACAGAATATATAGGGAGGTAAAGAGAGAAGAGAGAGAGAGAGGAAAGAATGAGGGAAAAAGTGCAATAGACTATCAACAGTTTCACGCCTTCCTTCGACGACCTTACATATCCGTAGAATACTAGTATATATGCATATATATATATCGGTTGATACTCAACCCTACATATATGGAGCCTCCCTGCCTGTGCGTGTGCCTGTGCCTCTGCCGCCTTTTGTGTGTTGTGTTGTGTCTGTCTGTCCATTTTGTATCTTTGTTTATGCCACACACATGTTACGCCTACGAAAAAGTCGTATAAAAACATAGACAATCGACAACGACAACAGACAACCGACACACAAAAAACGTCGTATGTCCCGCAGGCAGAGGAGAGGTTCAGTTCCTCTATTGTCTGTTGTCTGTTGCCAGTGCCTGCCTGCCATATGTGGCATGTGTGGCATAGGCTGTGGAAATGCTAATGGGAAAAACTTCATAGCTTAAAGGGAGTCGTCTACCTACGGGTATCGTTCGTG